GTAATAAATATATGGATTAACTTTTACATTGTTTTACATTCAAGTTTCAAGATCGTTAAAATACAGAATGCATTCGATTTCGAATGCCTTAATTTTCCTTTGTTCTACTCCATGAATTTTTTAGCGTGATTTCCAGATTCAGAATCTACTGAAACATATTTAAACACAAAAATAAAAAAATATATATATATACATATATATATATATATATATATATATATATATATATATATATATATATATATATATATATATATATATATCTTGTTTTTATGTATTTGTAATTGTAGTGGTGTTCATTCACAAAAATGAACAAAAAAAGATCATCCCAGCTCGACTTTTATCATGATTTTATAAATTAACACACCCAAATGAAACGCTATGCGAAGAAAAAGAAGAAAATATTTCAACGTGACCACCTCATAAATTTGCACTGCGTAATCAATCGAAAAAAATAAACAAATAAGACTATTATAGTGGGCGCAGGCGAATCTTATACACTCTTCGAACAATACCGTTAGAATTTTCGACTTTTTGTGTTTTTATGAAAAATTTTATTTCCGATATCGTAATCATTTATGAACCGATTTTTCAGAAGTCTTCTACTAAATTCTTCTAAATACTTTTGTTAAATTGATAATATATAAATCCCGGATATACTAGATTAGATTGGAAGAAGAAAATTTATCGATGTGCTGCATTATACTATTCGGCTATACTAATATCAAAAAATTTTCAGTGTAAAGCGTCTCTGATCTTTAACGATTAGGTCCAGTTTAGAACGATTATATAGACATTTAAGACATTCAAAATCTAACTCAGCAACGCTTCCTTAGTTTTTCCGACAGCACTTGGGGTATGGATAAAGAAACATTGTTGGTTATCTACAAGACATACTGCCAATCACTGATAAATTATGCTTACCCAGTGCTGTCTCCTACATGACAACCAGTAGGCAAGTGTTCAAACACGATAAAAGGACTGTTCACTAGTCAAGGAACAAGCTGACAAGACAGTTCCTCCTGGGATGTTACCAGAGAAGTCATCATAACTTTAACTGTATGATACTATCCCGAGGAAGGGACTTCTGTATATATATACAGCAGTGTTGATCAATATTCATTGAGAAGACATAAAAACCTCGGTTACAGGTTACCTCATGATTGTCGTTCTGGGAGGCCGAACAAAAAGATAACTCTGGCACAACTAAGAAGGAGGTGGACGTCTACCGAAGCTACATAGATCGCTACGTCTCTAAAGTATGCCAAGCATGTGTCCAGGATCCCCATGATGCTTTCTATATAATCAACAATCTACCTTGACCTACTTTACTTTGTCCAATGGATTTGTGGTGTAATCCAGTAGAATAGGCAAAATTTTTTTAATAGAACAACTTGGAAACTTGTGAAATTGGACCGTAAGAACATATTAGGCTAAGTTCATGATATGCAGAAGAACCAATTGGAGTTTTTATAGAAATTAAAAATAGAGTAAAAAATTAACATTAGCTATACAAGATGATGGGTAAAAGAAGTACTACCATGGTTTTATTTTGAACCACGAAACGTCTATTCTGCATAAATAAAAACAAGTATATAAATATTATCAGCATTAAATATAAACATATTTCTGTATATTCCGACAAATGAAAAATAGCAACAATTTTAAATAAATTTGCCAATACTATCTTATTAAAAACAACTCATACACATCTTAATGAAAGACGCGTGCCATTTTATCTCGAAATAAAAATAACAAAATTCAATGAAATTATTGTATAACCCTTTACTATAGAAAACTTGTCAAAATGAGAAAAAAACGTGCTGTCATTTGATTAAACAATATTATCGTATGTATGTATATAAACATGTTTGTGGTTGTGTTTTTGTTTGTTTGTCTATATCAACATGTGCTGTAACAAAGAAATTTTTGAAGAGAGTTAAGTTTAGACGTACAGTATGTAAGTATTCCCATATGTATCTTGTAATTTTTTGCAAAAACAAACAATTCAGGGTTACACCTAGAGAAATTTTTGTATATACTTATAACTGATCTTGTAATAAAATATATAGATCAAAATATTAATATATAAATGGACCATTTGTTTATATAAACATTATACAAACGCCATCAAAACTTTGTCAACAATTTGAATTGTTTTATTGTTCTACAATATGTTATGCTCGGTAACAGATCTGAATGTTTAATTATTTTGCCATTAAAAAAAAAAAAACAAAATAATTGCAGTTTATTATACATCATACGACCAAATATAAGTAAATATATTTATTAATATTTTTAACAGAGTTGCCATAATCAGATGTTTAAAAAAATCGCAATTCTTAAATTTATCACAATAAGATCGCATAAAACTTATTTTATGAATATATTATCAATAGGAGACTTCAGATTGGATTGCAGTTGATATTTTTGTTATATAGTGGGTGGCAACTGACAGCTGTCATGATCAGTATGCAAATAATCGCGAATTTATAATACAACTTGAGCAGACTCCACACTAAGTTAGTCACCGTTGGACTTTTGGAAAGTTTCACCAGTCAATGTTAGAAGACAAAGTTAGAGTTAGAAACTTTAGACTATCATTGATATGTCAAATGTAACATCTTAAACATTGTTCACTTTATATTTAAAACAGCCACACTAATAATATCTCACAAATTCCCAGTGTACTCTCCTCCATTTAATACCATTTAAAACTTGAGTTTAAGTATGACTCAGCAGATTTTCAAAAAAATGGCAAGCCTGATTTAAACCAGAAAATGAGTACAATGGTCATTTTGTTTTTGGAGAAATCAATATAATTTTATAGCTTTGTCACAAAGTCGTCCACAATAAAGAATTATACAATACATTGATAAGTTTTAAACAGAAAGAAAAAGTATGATAACAAAATATTAAACTAAACTAAAAAACTATTCTCTCAGACGATACAATAACAATGGCAGACAAGTGGTCATACATATAAATCAGTGCTGTTAACGCTAAAGTGTTTAATATTAAAATAGCGTTTTTTTAATCAATCAAAAACTTGCAGCATGCTTATAAGTGTTGCTCTTCTAAGAAGATTATGCACTACTGTTGACGTTTGAGACATTAAGTTAGACGTACAGTGCTCTCCCATTCGGAGGATGCTGCGATTTTTTTGGACAAGTACTGGCGATGTAAACAATCTGTAATATCGAATCTGAATATGTGAACGTTTCTTTTTTAATTTATAAATAGAATAAAGATATATATCAATGGAATTTCTGAACAATTTGTTGGCTCTCAAAATCGAATACGGCAATGTTTTCTCTCAGCTTTGAACAACGAAGAACATACACTCTAAAATTTGTGGGCAAGAAATGATATTGTTGAGATTCTGTAGGAATATAAAAAATCAATCTAAAACTCTCAAAACATAATAGAAATAGGAACAGCCGAAAGATGCGCCCTTTTAAAAGGATACTATAAATAATTAGCTATAAGAGTCTCAAATTCGAATATTATAACATTTACTTAAAACTGCTATAAGGCTCTCAAATTCGAATACGTTAACATTTACTTAAAACTGGTACTGAGGGTTTCACCGATCATGAACTGCTTTAGCATAAAATAAAAAGAATCCTAAATAAGCGTTAATTCAATTTTATGACCGACAAATACGAATACGAGAAAATTTATTTAAAACTGATACTGAGAGTTGAGAGAAGAAGAGTTAAAATTGCTCAAAACTCACAATCAAAAAGATGCGCTGTCAAGAGTAAAGTGGGAATCTAGGGAAATTGGACCGACAAAACTAAATACGAGGACATTTATCTAAAACTAGTATTGAAAGTTGATATCAGTATCGATCGTAATCGTACATATACCATCGCAATCCCTCGATCATGAGCTGTTTTAGCACAAAATTGAATGAATAAAGTGCTGAAACTCCTCAAAATTCACGACTAAAATGAAGCAAAGTGTACGGGATCAAGTACTACGTGAACATTTACAGAGAATTGAACACAATATCAATCGTAAAACTAAGAGAAGAAAGTGTTAAAATGCATCAAAGCGAAGTGCTGTTAAGAACACTGTCTAGAAAACTATTGAAGTTGGACCGAAAAAAAACATAATAGCAAAGTTCAGCAGAAAAGGTGCTTCGAATTCGAAGATTTTGAACGGTTTACAGCTACTCTTTTTCTTTAGATGTCATCGAGAGGTTTTCGTCAAAATAAGATCGAAAGACTGGTATGTTTGAATTAACCAGCACAAGTTCTAAAGTAAAGTATACTAAGTGCTCTAACCAATAACTTATTTTGAGGTCGATCTTACCAAATAAGACATCTAATAACATTAACTGATAATGTCTTGTGACAAGGTGAGTTTTCACCATAATCTAATTGTATCCAATATTGGTCAACATAATGGAAAGTTTACTTAAAACTCCTACTTTATAGATCAAACTACTTCCGAATCGAGTGCCAACGCCATTGTAGCCATTGCCCGTATATGTATACGTCAACAGTACGAAGCTTTTAACAGTGATAACAATGGTTGGTAATGGTGCCACCGATGTTGAAGCCGTTCCTTCTGCAAACTACTTTGTTGACTTTGGCGGCAATGTGAAAAAGATTTAAAACTAATTACTGCTCAGGCAGCCAATAATTATATGTCATTGAAGGATTTTCGCAAATCCTCACACTTAACAGGTAGAAATCATTATTTTAGGTGTTTTTAACCCAAAATTGACATCACTTTAATCGAAAACAAGTGAGCTATTTGTTGTTTATATTGAAAACATACTATATACTATGTATGTTATTGTGTTACTACGCGCGATCAGCAGGCAAACGGCAGCAAGCAAGCAGTACAATAAATGAGTGTGTATATTGTTTTTGTTTGTTGTTGTATTCAATATTTTTTTTATTTTTGCCTGTCGTACTATTGGAAAAAAACTGACATTTTATACTCACTCACCATTCGTATATAAAAGAGTTTTCCTATACACAAATTTACAGCAAATAAAATCAGTTACAAATTGCTAGTCTGGCGGGCAACAACGTTGTGTTAAAATATATATTTTAAATAAATTATAATTGATGAAAATAAAAGTACAAAGAATTTTTTAGAAAAGTAAAACATTTGCTGTGAAAGTGATCTTGAATTAAATAAAAGTGATCTACAATCAAGAATACTTTATGCAAACATTCTGTTGAGAGCGGGGAAATTTTTCTTGACATATGAATTAATTTTATCGCAAAAATACCATAAACAAAACGTGCTTTATCTAAATAAATAGATATACTATATATACATAACGTATTTTTGCTAAAAAAAGAAAAATAAATAAATTTATCACAATGAATTCTACAATTGGATTAAGTCTTGGACGTACAGCTACAAATGGTTGTGCGACAGCAGCCATGAATGGAGCCGCCACTTGTCATGCAGTAGCAGCTGCTACACTTAACGGCAGTAATCTTCATACTATGGAGACAAAATGCAAAAATCCCGAGCTGGCAGCCAAGATTATCAAACAATCGCATATTGTGTGTTTTGATGTTGATTCCACAGTGATCCAAGAAGAAGGTATCGATGAATTGGCCGATTATTGTGGCAAAGGATCAGAGGTGGCTCGCGTTACCAAAGAGGCTATGGGTGGTTCTATGACTTTTCAAGATGCCCTTAAAATCCGTCTAGACATCATTAGACCTAGCCAACAGCAAATTAAGGATTTTGTCAAACTACGCCCTAGCACCTTGACACGTAATGTTAAGCGTTTCGTAGAACAACTTAAAGCTGAAGGAAAACAGGTTTATCTTATTTCTGGTGGTTTCGATTGTCTCATAGAACCGGTTGCCAACGAGTTGGGTATCCCACTTTCACATTTATATGCCAATAAATTATTCTTCGACTACAATGGCGAGTATGCTGCTTTTGATATAGATCAACCTACTTCCAAATCGGGTGGCAAAGCAGTTGCCATTGCCCATATACGTCAACAATACGAAGCTGATACAGTGATAACAATGGTTGGTGATGGTGCCACCGATCTTGAAGCTGTTCCACCTGCCAATTACTTTGTTTGTTTTGGCGGCAATGTATTGCGCCCTGAAGTACAAAAGCGTGCTCAGTATTATGTAACGGATTTTGATCAATTAATGCATTGATTCGAAGAAATAACAAAGAGCAATTAAGTAAATTATATAAGAAAAGAAGTATTTCATTTAATATGTATACCTGACTGTAGGTAGTAGTAGTAGCATTTACTATCTGTATGTAGATTATGAAAAAAAAAATCGTGTAAATAAGAATTTTTAGTTTTAATTATTGTTATTAAAAAAATTTAATACAAATGTTAGTTAGCAATTTAGTTATTTTTAATTAATTGTATTCAAAAGTACATACTATTTTTGTAATATTGTTTTGTAATAAAAAAATGCAAAGAAAACATTTGTTTTGTTATTTTTCATTTGTTGAGTAAAATGTTAAGAACATTTTAGTTAAAATGTATACAGGTATGTATTTGTAACAGTGCTTAAGAGAACTACAAAACTCTTCAAGTATTACTCTTAAAATAAGAGTAAATAAAAGAGAGAGAGAAAGATGAAAGCTTGCCAGATTTTTCACAAACAAATTTAAACCGCTTGAAGTTTGAAATAATTGGAAATGATTAAAATCAACTACAGATAACATAAGAGAAACACTGTACTCTTTAATGATATTCTCTTAAAATAATTTAAAAGTAGCTACGAGATTTTTAATTTTTTTACGATATCAAAATCCAGGAACCAAGTATGAAGTATTTATTTGAAAAATATTATTTTTTTTGTTTGAAATCATCATCTTCAGAACTGATTCCGTAAAATAGTTACAAAGCAGACATTCATTTTATAGACATTCTATAGGGACTGCTACTAAAGCGTGACTATTAGTAAATATGTATATGATTATACCTTTGGGATTTTCGATAGAATGTAAGCCAATTTATGGTCCATTTAATAACAGATACTACAGCTTGAAGAATGCTACATTCTGAATCTAATTTTGATTCAATGAAAATTACTTATTTATGTCTCGTCACAATCATATAGGCCCCTGCCGGGATTTAACTTCAGTATTCGAAGAAACACATGACCGAAAGCCTTTATCAAAGAATACCTTCGGAAATGCAATAGTGATAATTGGAAAGGATTAAAGTTCCAATTATCAGAAGTTTTACAGTAATGACCATTGCTAACTGTTTCCTAAGTAGATCCACTAGCAGCCAATTTAGCAAAAAATAATAAGGCATTGATGGCAGTAGGTCCAATTATAAGAAGTATAGTCGATTTCAATAGTTTTTCAAGAAGATCTCGATTAACTACAGCGTCAAATAGCCAGTTGACGTTTTCAGGACTTAAACTCAATAACTTGAACAAAAACTCATAACTTTACTATAGACGTATTATTAAAATTTTTAAATAACTGGGTCGTTGAATCAAGACCAATAGGTTATGCCATTTGAACTAGATAAGTCTACAGATCTTTAGGATTAGCTGAACTGTCAAAGGTGGAGGGTGTTATATGGAACCACCTGCTGGACATATGGCTCCATCTAGAACTCTTTTGTGTTAGAACTACAACTGCTTGACGCTGCATTGTGTGTTCTTCATTTGCAATAATTTGTGGGCGACTTCAAAGTACGATATTTATACGATAATCTGCAACTGCTGGGTCTACTGTATCTCAATAGATATCGTTGAGTGCTGGCTGCCATGTACGATACGTCATCATGCTTATAACGTAGTTATCGTACATGTGAAGATCTTTTCTGACATGCATCGGAAGAGAATCAAAATGCCTTATATAGTAGTAAGGATGATGCCTCCGATGGCATCCCAGAAGGAGCTGCAATGAAATCATGTTATTGTGATCCTTAACCTGTAAAATCTTAGTTTCCTCGTGAAAATGTTATTCTGAGGACATCTAGAGGTGAAAGGATCGCGCCCTGAGGATCACATTGTTTAATTCTACGCTATTAAGAATCTCTAAACTCGACGAACTACTGACTACCGCCCAAATAATTTACGTTCCATCTCTTCGTATTAACGTATAATGATGGGTATCACTTAGCTATAAGGACCACAGTGGAGCCTCATAATTAACCACTGAGCTACCAATCGTTTTATATGTTGCTAAGAAGATTTCTTTGTCCATACAGTAAGTGCTTTTTTTGTTTTCACATCGCAACTGCATTGTCCGGAGATACCTTCATCAGGTGAATTACAGTCAGAATTCTGACCCCATCGATTTTATCGTTAAGTTCGAATTATAAATCCTTGGACCAGGTGGTAAAAAGGTGTTACAGATGAATAATCTGGTGAATCTGGTGTGGACGATAATGAGATATCGGCTCTCCAAACTGGATGTTGTTGTCTCTTGCCATAATAGTGCAGTCGTCCTCGTATGAATATATAGACATTAAACAACAGAGTCGAAAGGATCCCGCTTTGAGGAACTCATTGTTTTATCCTAATGACTTTTGTGGAGCTTGAATTGATATTCATCGTCCAAGGGGAGTAATATTAAATAATCTTAGAGAATAATAATAAAAGACACATGATTAACACTAAGGCCACATTTTATAATCCGAGAGCTGGTATTCTTTAACGCAGATTCCAATTCCACTGAGACAAGATCTCTAGACCTAAAAAGCGGAAATTCAGCAGGAATTTGATGGGGTCTAATAGACACAAATCGCAATCTAAACTTTATGCATATCCGTTGTCTAAAAGTTAATAAACGTTGTAAGCTCAAAATTCATTGCCAATAGAGAGCTTACCACTTTTGTTAACATTTAGACAACGGATGTGCATAAAGTTTAGATTGCGACAACGAATTGTTGCAATGTTGACAAAGTTACGTGGTCATGTTGTTGTTGTATGTATGTATATACTTGACAATGGATGTTATGAAAAATTTAGTGTTAATTTGGTAAAAGGCGTATTTACAAAAATTTCATATTTTCGCCATTTTTTATACAAAACTATACGATTTCATACAATTAAAAGAGAAATTAGGAAAACAGAATCAAAAACCATTTAAAAATAATAAAAATACTAGTTTTTATAAAAATTTTCCCCAAAAAAATCGTCTAAAACAGAAAGTACAAAAAGTATCCATTAATATGCAAAAACATAAAATTGTTACACTTTCTAAATATGTCTAAAAACACACACACAAAAATAATTAAGTTCTTATAAAATAAATTTATTTTCTTACACTTAAAACCAGCTATGTACATAAAAAGAAAACGCCGAAGAAAAAAATGAAAAGAAAGAAACAATTATTGTACAAAAAAGTACAATAATACTTAACAACAGTTTAGAGAATATTAAAATTTACCTCGAAACCATTCTCTTAATTAAGATCAAAGTTAAAAGCCAACAAACAACAGCAACATATAGAAATAAACGCCAACATATTGTTGTGTTCACAAATAAACAACAAATAGTACTTTTTACCATGTTTGTAAATCTTCAAGAGCTTGTTTAAGTATTTCTTCGAGCAAGCAAGCATGAATGCTAAGAACAAAATATTTGTGTTTGCCAGTATGTAGTATTTCTAACGAAGACATTGTTTAGAAGAATAAACAGAAAAATAATAAAAATATATATGTATATAAAAAAGTTAAAAGGAAAAAAAATCAACAGCTTATAAGGTTTACAAGATTCTAAAAGGTTCTAAGCAAGTGTTGAATGTCATTTGAAAATAAAACACACAATGTATACAATAATGTGATCATGCAAAAACTCCCACACACACACAGATACAAAAAATGTTTACCATACTTGGGAGAGTGAGCAAAAACATAAAACTTAACGGTGGTGAGTCAATGACGCCAACGTTTTCAAAACGTCACTTTATTATTAAAACAAAGGTCGACGTGTGCCAGTCTAGAAATATCTTGACTATCTATGCCTTAAGTACACATACTTATACAATTTTAATCAATTCCACTACAGGGATTGATCGATTTTATTAAGTTCATCAAACTGTTGGTAACATTTAGGGCTTTAATTTAAATTTCTTTCTAATTTTATCTAAATTTATAGAAAATGAATGGAAACTAAAGCTAAATATACATGACGTTTAGTATCTTATGATCGAAGTTATTAAGTTCATCAAACTGTTGGTAACATTTAGGGCTTTAATTTAAATTTCTTTCTAATTTTATCTAAATTTATAGAAAATTAATGGAAACTAAAGCCAAATATACGTGACATTAAGTATCTTATGATCTGCTGAAATCTAGGCAAATCATCACAACTGTACCGACGACTTCATCGTCTCTGAACGCCGAAATTACATCAACCAAAGAAAGCAGACAGGCACGATTTTAGATAATTCACTGATCGTATCTTCAATGATCTTCCAACTCGCTCCAATATATACCAAGCGAAGAGCAAAATCTGTGAAACTGTCATCACAGCAGCTGCTCGCTTTTTGTATTTGCTAGTCTCCCAGCAGAGGCAGCGGGACTATCTTGTGATGACATCCGAAGTATTAACCCGACAACAAAAGTATTGTACAGTTATACTACGATATCGCCAAGTTAGTAAATGAAGACAAACGGAATAAATGGTTAAATCATATGAAAAACTGCAACTTGAGCACTGGAGTTGGTAAGTTGTGATCTAAAGATTAGTATTTCTCCTACCCGAGGAAGAAGGATAACAGGATCACGATTAAGTTTACAGATACCACCATTCGAGAGAGAGGTAGTCAAAGCGAAACGAAGAGATGCTCGCAAACTTCACAACCTTGCAGTATCGACATTTCACAACCCTAAAAAGGATAGAAATATTCCTTTGGATAAAACAGGGAAGATCACTACAAAAGAACAATCCAACACCTGTCGCTAAAATGGTTGAGGCTCTTCTCTTCCCCATTATGGATTCCGTAAAATGCTCAGTGCCACGCAGTATTAACTGCTCAGATCTGTGTGAGATCTGATCTGAAATCAGCAGAGACCTTGTAATAGAACACTCCTAGTAAAGCTGGAAATGTTAAAGGATGTTCCAGGACATCCTGTAGTCGACCATGCTCAACAATATGAAGAGATGAATAAAAAATTATCTAAGTGGTCGTCAGTCGTTCGTTGAGTTTAGAGACAAATGCTCAAAAACTTGCAGAGTAGCTTAATTCCTAGGCTTAGATCCAGGCCTTGGACTCCAACACAGAATCCTCG